GTCTTGAGGTAGCGTATATGTCTTGGCCGTAAAGGGGGCGTCCATAGTAGTGGAGTCTGATGCCAAATAGCAAAGTTGTCGAGATACTCCTGAGTCATATCGTCCCGCGGCAAAGGGCGGTCAGCCAAGGCACAGCCCAGATCGAATAGTGCAATCCTCCCTAGTTTATCCCTCATCATATTATCCTCATGAGCGTCCGTATCTCTCAATGCCATTATAATCAGCGATGCATCTCGAGCCACTTCAGGGTCTATATCCCGAACGGTGACCTGAGAGGCAGTCGGGTGCTTGCATACGAAATCCTGTATAACGCCTTCGAATGTGTTCCAACTCGCCACACACGCCTTGGGACAATACGCTTTCAGATACCGCACCTCCTTCATCGCGTTACTAGCAACAGCATTTCTAACCGCTTGAGTGAACTTAGGAACGTTAGGTCTCTGGCTGAGCTCTTGCTTAGGATTCCGGAATATGAACTGCGGGTCATCCACATTTCTACCCAAGAACAATACCCCTCCATGAACCGTTCTAACATCGCTCTCGCCGTGCTTGAATGCTATCCTAGTAAGATCGTTAAACTGCTGCAAACGCTTATTCATACTAGCCTGCAGTAACACATCTTGCCACTCTGGTAGATACATAATGTCTTGTCGTATATCCAAGAACCTCCCCATCTCGTAGGGTTGCTCTACCAAATCTGTTGATAGTAATTCTGAACCCTCCATATCGTCGTCTTCATCATCGTCATCTTCCATTTCTTCACTAATTTTATCATCATCATCTACGCCCGACCCCGGCGACATGTTCTCCCCATCCGGCGCCACGACCTTGAAGACCTGTACCCATCCTGCGATAAACCGATACACTACAGCCCCTAGTCCCATGAGGCCTAGTAAGAAGACCAATACTATGTAATTATGTTGGTACTTCACAGCCAGAAACTCCCTAAGGAAGTATTCCGAGCCACATCGTTCACGTAATGGACTTTCGCGGGGTCGGCGTTGCCACAGTACTCCAGGGCCTGGCAAACTGAGGGGTCGTATCTTACCAGCATCATGGTAACCGTCTCCATCCGGTAGGCGTCCAAG